TATATATATATATAGATAGATAGATAGAGACAGATATGTATTTTTTAATTATAATTTTTTCATTTTTAATATTTTTTTTAAATGGATGATTAGATTGGATTGTCTATGTGCAGTTTGTTACGGTTAAAAAAAATCTCAAACAGCACCTCATAAAATTGAAGGACAGCATTAAATAAGCTAAAATATATTAAAGTTTTGATAATTTTGTGTTATTATCTGTTATTTTATTACCATATATAATTAATCTTAATATTTGTGTGTAATTTTAATATTATTATGAATTTGTAATTATTAATATTTAGGATACTTATAATTCATTTTAATAGCTAATATTAATATATACGTATGTTTATCTATAATGATGTATATTTATATATAATTATTTTAATAGTATTCGAATTTTAATTATATATAAAATTTAAGTTTTATATATTTATATATAAATTATTAAAATATATTATTTTAGTTATAGTAGTTAAAATTATATCTTTTACTTTATATTTTATATAATATGTATAATTATTCAATTTTTTAAAAATATCTTAATAGTAATATATCTGTGTATAATTTGAATGTATCAGAACATTATAACATGATGTTTTTCTGTACTGCGTTTTTGTCTTTTGAACAGGGAGGATATCAGAACAGCTAACGTCATCGCAGCAGAGTCTGTCACCTGCCTTGTGATCGACAGAGAGTGAGTATATGTCACGTTTATTCTGTGGCAAAGAGTTTCGTTATATACACTGCTTAAAACATCACAAGTGTCATTGACATTCCAGCAGAAGTAATTCAGTCCAGGTTTTCCAGTTCGTTGAACATCTGTGGATTTTACACTGATCTTTCTATTTGTATGTGTGTGTGGAACACAGAATCTGTGGGTTTGAAGTGCTTATCTGCTCCCTTATAGAACTCAATAAATCAAGCTCAACCTAAATAGCTAAAGTGTCATGTGTGTCAATAAGCTGGAAAGAGTGAGACAGACAGAGAGAGAAGCACATATGTGCCCTCCGGCGGGGAAAACTCTCTTTCCTGTCTGACTGAGACTCAAACCATCAGCCATCTGTGTGACAGCTGATTATGGTACATTTCAATGAGACGTATGTCATGTAGATATAAAACTTTTACTATACATTAGTACTGACTTTCTAAATTAAGAGAGGGACATGAAATAGTAATTAAGAGTCACCGAGGGATAGAAATGAGTTCGTTCTCGAAGAGAAATGGCAGTTCTGTCTTATCAAGCCCAAACTTTTGACCACTATAGTTTATTTGTCATAAAGATGAAGTCTTTCCAACAGTGTTGTTTGTGCCGTTCTTTTCAGCTCATACAAACATCTGATTGGAGGTCTGGAAGACATATCCAACAAAGGCAGTGAAGACGCAGAGGCAAAGGCAAAGTAGGTGAAATCATCTTTGAAGACATTTCATTATTATGTTTTCTTCCCCGAGGTCCATTTATAATAATGGTCAAGGATTCAAAAGTTACAAAAGTAGAAATTCTCTATTCATGATATGCCACATCACTATCAAAAGTATTGTAGGCAGTCTGTTAAGTCTAGTTAGTGATGTCACATCAGTTTATGTAGAATCTATTGCACAGAAATACTGCTACATTATTCTGTTGGCATTTCTAAATGTGAACCAGGTTTATTAGTTGGTATGTGAAAAGAAACAGTAATATTTACAAGTTCCCAAGCTGTTACAGTGACTGCTTTTAAACTATACTGTATTTGCCAGTTTGTTGAAAGCTTTGAGTTTCTGAAAGATTCAATTTTTGAACTGAGTTTCATTTGAGACAAAAAACAGGGTCGGTAAAATAGTTTAATGTTTTTGAAAGAAGTATCTTATGCTTGCCAAGGCTGCTTTTATTTGAATGAAAATACAGTAAAAAGTAAAAAAAAAAAAAAAAAGTATTTACTCCAGTTTTGATCTGGTCACATGATCCTTCAGAAATCATTCTAATATACAGATTTGGTGCACAAGAAACATTTGTTATTATCAATGTTGCGGAAACTGTGATACATTTTTTCAGGATTTTTTGATGAACAGGAAGTTCAAAAGAACGGCATTTAAGTTAAATTATCCTTTACAGGAAATTTTATCTTGGACTCAAAAGCTGCAGTAGTACACAACAACCACACACAATAACAACATCAGCATTATTAAGAGAGAGAAGGGGGGAAAAACTTACTATTTAAAATCCGAATAGATACAGGTATAAATGGATTCTTGTAACGATTACTTCTACATAATGGAACTCTATAACGCTTTTTTTAATAGAAACATTTTTTTATTTATTTGAATAGAAATCTTTTTGTGACATTTAAAATGTATTTTTTGCTCAATCGAATGTATCCTTGCTTAAAAGCATTACTTTATTGTTAACCATTTTTTTTGTTTGTTTTTTGCTTAGTGTATGTCTGATTTCAGATTTAGCTGCCTCCAAATATTGCATAAAACAAGTGAAATGTGGTTGGTCTCTTTTATATGAGGTTTCTTCCTCTTTAAGTTGGCGATAGTGAAATACAAAAGTCTATTGCAGCTCAAGGATGTTTGCTGAAACTCTAGAACTGTAAAGCAGAAAAGGCTGTGCTAGCATGCAGAAGACATGTTATAAAGAACCCGCAACTGTTCATGATCAGAAGAAACATGATGAGAAAGCGATGCAATCATTGTGCGGCGATGAGAAAATAATCCGCTCAGAGACATGTGAAACCTTATCACATTTCACAGAGACAATATCAGGCACTGACAGAGAGAAAGAGGGATTCTGGGATAGTTCAGAAACACATTTCCCACTTCAAAAAATTCCTTCTGTGTCATATCTGAACCCAAATAGAAACTTTTCTTCCTCGTATCTGCAGTGTAAATTAGCATCTGATGAATAATGAAGAGGTGTCTGTAGCCTGTGTGACTGTCATAGATTAAAGCTTATTAAGACACATCTACAGCTGTCACCTCCTGCACTGCGTTCCCCCGTGATCCAAACTACAAACCTGTAAATACATCTCCAGCTGCCACGCTGACAGATAGAGAGCACTCTAATGAGACAAGTGCATTCAGCTCTCCTTAAGGTGTCATTTCTGCATCCTTCTGCAAGGCATTGCAAAATACAGTAGATGCTGTCCATGAAGAACCCATAAAGCTCCATATTGCCACCTTGTGGTCAATCAAATTAACTCTGTATTTCACCTATGATGAATTGGAGAAGCCGAATGCCTCACAGGTTTATATTTCAATCAAAGCAGTTTTAAAACTGATTTGAATGATTCCTCAGGCATACAATATCAGTAAATTGTCCAGCAGAAATGTGAAATTCATGTAAATGTTGCTAGCTGTCAGACCTTTTTATCAGCATGCATGAGCACAGAGAAGGCTGGAAGCTAGAACCAGTGTCATGAACACATGCCTGCTTCCTCCTGGAGAGTTTTAAGTCTCAGTTATGTTTTGGTTGATTGACTTAAGACGTGCGACATGCATTTGAAAGCAGGTGATGTTTTCAAATGGCTGAAAGCTTGATTAAAAAGTCATCATGCAATCCAAATTTATTTAAATATATTATTTTACTTAATATTATTAAGTATTATTTAAAAAAAAGTAGTTGGCATATTTTAATTTTATTTTTAATGGGTCTTTGAGACTCTTGCTGTCGAATCTGCCAGCTCTGAATCTGGTGTGAGACATTAAACATCTCCAGCTTTCAGCTGAGGAATGAATTTCTTCTGTTTATAGTCTTAGTGAAGAGTTTTGGCTTGTATCCATGCCTCTTTCCAAAACTGCACTCTTGTTTGTGCATTGCTCTATTCCTGCAGAACATGTCAGCATTGAACTTCTCTGGCCCTGCCAGCCTAATAACTGATTATGTGAAAGGGATTGAATAATAACTAAAGCACGCTTGTGTGTGCGCACGCTGGTTTTTAGGACCCTTGGCAGAGTGCATGGAAAATCGTAACCTCTGTGTGACACTGCAAAGCAGTTTTTGCCAAGCTAAATAGCAGCTCAGTCATGTCATTGGCCATGGCTCAAGCAAAGGGATTTGATTGGCCAGTTCTGCATCATGGGCTAATATAACTATATCACAGGTCACAGGTCAGTCTGCAATTCTTAAAGTTAGGCATGATTTATTTTTGGGTACCGTGTATGAATTTACTCAGAGGCGGACTTAACCATTAGGCAAATGTAGGCGACCGCCTTGGGCCCCCAAAAGCCAAGGGCCCCCTAAAATGCTTTTTATATGCGAGATGCGCGTTCAATGCGGACGCGCAAGTGGTTGCTGTGGTGTTCATTACCACGACAACCGTCTGTGCATCCGCATTGAACGTGCTTCTTAGCAAAAGTAGGGCGATGTAAAATGGGGACGGAATCGCGGAATCTATTCCTAAAAACGGAATTTACTGTGTAACGCGGAATGTGACGGAATGAACAGCACAGACACGTGTTTCGTTTGCTATTTAAGCATGCACAACGCTCGCGGTTGTCTTCTGTAGTAGCTAAATAGTATTTTTGCCATTTAATATTCACATACACTAGTCTATATCGCGGTTTGATTGAAGTGTACTGAATTGCATTTGATTTATTCATTCAATATTTGATGAATTCCGTGACATTGCTCGTTACACAGTAAACTTCTGTTGTGTAGCATTTTGAATGTACAAAAATTAAAGGGTTTGTTTAATTTTCATTGGAATAAAAGATAGATT